TTCATAGCTTAACAATCCTCATCTGAACTATATTTATCTGATGAGTAGCTGTCTGATGATATGCACTCAACTGTCATTTGACTCATTTCAATGTCAGAATCCATGCTTTTGCATGCCATGGATGCCAAAGATGTGAAAATGTCAGATGCAGGTTCAAAGAGCTTTAAATTGCTCTTTATGGCAACTAGCTTGGCTACCCTGTTCCATTGCTTGGTATGTACATTGCCAAATAAAGACCAGTTGTATTCTGAGGTGGCAGCTGAAGGATACAAGTGCCAGTAGGGGAGAGTGCTTCTGTATGACGAAGGCCCTTCCACTGTGTGGGTGGGGAAATGTGCTGGGCAGAGGAACACAAGGCATCGCCTTTCCAGAGGCCTTCCTTTGCTCTAAACTTTGCCAAACTAACTAAAACCTTTCCTTCATCAAGACCAAAGTGGTTTGCCGTCACCGTTATAAAAGTGTATGCAATGCTAACTTGTTCATTGTTAAGGTGTTCTCCTCTGTGGCAAGGGTGTAGCATGTTGGCTGCTGCATGGATTGGTTTCATGCAGAACTCTGACCTTTGCAGCCCTTTCCTCAGCTTGTTTCAGTGGTGACTCCAAAAGTACTGCAGCTACTTCTTCTTTAACACAAGTTAGAGCTTTGGTACATCAGACAGAAGAGCATCATTGCTTTCGATTTCTGTAATTGCTGATGCCACAAGATCAAGTATCTTGAGGCTGTTCATTATTTGTGGCCAGAAAATATCATTATCCAGCAGATCTTTTCACATGCTGTTACCAACACCAAGTGATTCCATAATTGCAAGTTTTTGCAATGATTCTTTGCCATGAATCAAGCTCTTATACATAATTACAACAGCACCCATCTTGTTGGGCTTGGCAGTTTAAGTGTTGTTCCCGTATTCTGGCTTTTCTGTTTTTCACAAACATTGCTCAAACCACATGGTGTCTCTTGGCATATTTTACCACTGCTGTTGCTTTCTTGAACAACCTTTGCATGGTGTCAAGCTTCATGATATCTCCCATTAGAAGACTGTGTCCAAGCAGCTTTCATATTGGAAGCATTGTCAGTGAGAATGGCATACACTTTGTTTGATCCAGTTTCCTCAATTACACTTGAGTTCATTCGCAATATAATCACTGGTATGATGTTCAGCTTTGGTTTCTGTGCTTTTGTAGAATACTGGTTGTGGAGTTGTGATGATATAATTTATGATATTTTCCCCACAAATGTTTGACTACCCATCACAAATAATGGCAACAGTCAGCATTCTTGATAGTTTCACCAACTTCTTTGTGAATACATGCATACTCTGCTTCCAACAAATATGTGCTCAGTGCATGTCTGGTGGGAGGTGTGTTTGCAGGTTTGATGTTTTAGAAGAATGCTTGCCAGTAATGATTTGTTGTTAATATCAGGGGTGAACCAGAGACAGATGGCATGTGCTAGGTTTTCATCAAGTTTGCATTGTGATGCAGTGTCTATGCTGTCAAAATATGATACTTGCTTTGTGGTTGATGAAGTGGATGGAACTGGTTTACCTGAATCACTTGTCATAGCAGAAAAATCAGATGACTGTGAAACAGCTTTTACAGGTTTTTGTACTTTTTCAGTTGGTGCCAGGAGTAACTGTTGCTGCTTTTTTCACAGGGTGTTGATTCTGTGGTGCCTTTTTGTATTTTTGCAAATGAGCTTACATCTTGGTTGCATCTTTGCATATTGTTGTGAGCAGTAATTTCTTAAGTAAACTTCCTTGCCATCTTTTTTTCACTGCATTGAAGTGTCTCCAAACATCAGATTGTATATGAGGCATTCTGAAATTCAGAAAATTCTTTCAATATTAATTTTCCAGATTAAAGCAGATATTATAAGACATTTTCTAGGCATCCATTAAGTACAAGCAAATACAGACCCTATTATGTATGGAATTCATGTATACCTCAAGTCCTCAACTGATGTATAAGGCTAAGGTAGATTAATTTTCTGGTCTAAGGATTCACTGCTCATATGTTTTGAAAATTGGAAGAAAAATTAATTACAAATTTATTTCCTGCACCTATTTTGATATGCTAGAAAGTGAAGAAAAAATAAAATTTAAAAATTATTGCTGCTCTTCTTTTTACCTGGTGAATCTGTACAGGGTACTTTTGATAAAAGTCTGAATTATCAAATGTTTACACAAAAGCTTGCATTTGCCTCATGAACCCTAATTAAATACAAACAAACACACTAGTTAAAGCTATGTGTATGTAGAGGATTGTATATTTCCTTTATTTCACAAGATATAACTCTTCACTCGGTTTTATTCGAAAATAAAAGTATGTACATTTTATTTTTTTCTGTCCATGCTGATTCAACAAAAACTAATGGATTTCTAGGATGTATGGTTTACTTCATGTAAAACTAGTGAATACACAGAACCAAGGAAAGAATTTTGTGGTTATGGCTTAAAATAAAACCATCTTGTAAGTTGTAACTGGTTATTTATCAAGTGGTTATGTACATTACACATGATACACTATGTGTGATGTATACGGTATATAAATAATGTAATACTAAGAGACTGAGAGCAACAGCAACAAATGCAGACAGAGGATATGAAATATAAATTAAGCTCTTGATGTTCTTGAAAATGTACATGATGCACACATACAGGTTTCTAGGGCACAATATACAGTTAAAAAGTAAAAATACAATTGTTATAGAGTTGCTAGAATATTGTTTCAGCAAAATTTACAAATTAACTGAAAATTCCCAATAATTCCCATACATTTCAAATTCCAGAAATTTCCCTGGAAACTTTCCAAAATTCCCACACCATTGCAACCCTAGTTTAAGAATAAGTGTATCTAGGCTGCCAGCTAGAGATGATTCAGATACAACTTTATATTTTACTACCAAATTATTTAAAAAAATGTATGTACATGCAAGTGTTCTTGATCCAGTTTCCTACTTGTGTCCATACAATTCTAAGGACATTCTATAAAGAAAATATATATCTAAAAATGTGTTTATACTTCATTTTCAATAGCACATTTTCTGAAAGGATCTACCAAGTTAAATTTCTGTTTTGATCTAATTGTATATGTGTTTAGAATGAATACCAAGGTAAACATTTTTGTTTATTTTTCATAAAAAACGTAAACTTCTGTGATTCTGTTATATAAAAATACATTTTTTCTTATTTCAGCTACTTGTACCAGATTGCACATTTAGGTGATGATGATGATGAACCAGAGTTTAGTAGTGCAATGCCACTGGAAGAAGGAGATACATTTTTCTTTGCTCCTCGTCAACTAAAGAATCTAGTTTTGGTTGATGAATTAGAAAGTCTATCTCCCATCATGCATTGCCAGATTGCAGATTTAGCTAATGAAGATACCCCTCAGTTATATACGGCCTGTGGTCGAAGTTCACGATCTTCACTACGAGTTTTGAGACATGGTTTGGAAGTGAGAATTTTTATATCATTAAATATGTTTGGGTGGTACTAAGAAGTGTTCAAAATCAACCACATCCCTAACCAAAAAAATAAAAACTTAAAAAAATACAAATTATGAATTGCATCTACTCATTACCAACATCTATTAGAACAATTTCTGATTTAGAGAGTCTTTAAATTTTTTAAGTGGCATAAAGAAGTTAGTATCAATTATAGCCCTTTAATTTATGGTGCAGGAATAAAAGAAAGATTCCCAGAGAAGATAAACTCCTCAGGCAGAGATTACTGAGTTGACCATCAATAATTGACAAAGATAAGATTAGTTTAACCTATCAAAGTATCTTATTTTACATATTTTGCTAGAAATGATGTGAAAATGAAGTTAGCTTAAGGAGTACTAAAATTCAGTACCAGATAGAGTGTGAAGTTAAAATAGAAAAACTGTTAAAAGTAGCTCATTAGTAAAACATCAGGAAAAAGCTATCAGTTTTCATCATTTAAACTCCACACATTAACCCTCTCCCCACGAGCATCCTTCACTGTGCATGTGACGAGGTTTTTAGTGAGTTACATTCAAAGTTTAATTAAACTACATTTTGTTTATGTTATTCCAATTAGTATACAATAAAATCATAGCTAATAATCCATATTTTCATGGTATATAAGTTTTAAGTTCTTAATTTTGTAATGCAACATTTAAAAAAAATCCTGAATTTCCCCTAGTGTGAGATGTGTGACATTTTTTCTCTACTCATCCCCCTTCTGTTATTTATTTACCACTCATCCAATAAGTACGACATTTAACATAACTTACTCACTATAATATTGTTATTGCTCAGACAAAGTATAATTTTCATATCCTTCAATCTTGTGTGGTTACAGAGCCATCCAATAGAAAATCAGACCCTTGGCATACCCACCTGTCACATCTTCTCTCTAATAGTTCTCTCTTATGTTTAATACTACATTATTTATAAACAATAGCAAGCCAAGGTTTCATCTGTCAAATGACTATTATGTTTTGTCTTTTTCTGTGCAGAGAATTATTACAATTTGAAGTCATTTTAGAAAGAAAAAAGGATAATTTAGTTGTTGTTTTTGTGGTTACGTAATGTTGATCAAATTGACTAACCTTGTATAGAGTTAGAGTAAAGCAAATAACAGATAAAATATATAGTTTTACTACAAAAATGAGTTTGAAATGTTGAAATGTATTTTGGAGGTTTTAGAGATTACAAAAATGAAATTTGGGATTTTTGAGATGAAGAAAAGTACTTTTAATCTTAACAAGAAAATCACTTTCCACTTGGACTAGTTAAAAAGTAGACTCCATATATTCACAGACAAGTCTGAAAGTCTGGCAAGTTTTATGGAGATACATGCTCTATATTAAAAGTTAGTAGTGTCAAAACTATAATGAGTACAAGGTGGTTGGTCAATTCAATAAGCCCATGTAAAGAGAGTAAAGCAGTAGTACTCTGAAAAATTAAATACTTTTTGTCATATTTCTCATTGTTTTTAATGTAACCATTTTAATTTTTTGTCCATAGACTGGTAAACAGCTATTGTTTAAATTGACAATCATATTATTTACCATAAAAATCGAGTCAAAGTCAGAATTTAAATATTTGTATTATGTCTTTATTGTTGAAATAAGTATCCATGTTTGCATATATTATGCATAAAAATGTTTTAACAGTAAAGGGACTCCCAGAATGTAAACTTGGGAACTCCTAAAACACTGTCAGTACTGATACCTGGGTGTAGGAGTTAATTTGTTTAAAAGCTGATATGTGATTAACCCTTTCTAGTCAGGCATCTCTTTCTGCATGTCACGAGGTTTTACAGAATTACATTTACAATTTAATTAAATGACTTTACTGTTAATGTATGTCAGTGAAATTATAATGTAGTGTATAATTTAAAGTTTTATATTATCTAAGTTTTAACTGCATTATTTCAAAATATGCTATTAAAAAAATAAGTTTTAGTTTCTATAATTTGAATAGTCATAGACCTAGATTGTTCATGTATGTTGATGAATCTCCGATTCAGTTGGTATGTTAAATCGACTGGGATATCTTTGAATAACTTCCTCCCTCATCTGACTTGGACCCACGGTTTAATGTAATCTCTGCTCTAAAACCATCACATTCACAACCACATCTAGAACTTTTCAAGCGTGTTTCATTGCTACATCATTTTACTTTACATTTACAAGTTTATTTTTCCAAGTTGGTTCTCACGGTCGTGGCTTTGGTCATAGGTCTGGTCTTGAAGATAGTGCCAAGTGTTTTCTTCTTGTCTTACCAAAACAAACAAAATTTTTTTGAAATTACTCATTTTTTTTGCATCCATATCAAGATGCCAGGCTGGCTCTTGTGACAGGTGTTAAAAAATATAAATGCATTGTACATTGGTGATAATAGCTATAGTTAGTAGTTAGCACACAGGATCACCTACAAAAGTTGTAATATTTTTAAAACAAGACCCAAAACTCAAGCACTTTTGAATGGTTGACTATTCTTCTCAGACTGTTATTCTCCTGAAGAAGAATAGTCTACTATTGGAAAATGCTTGAGTTTTGGGTCTCGTTTTGAAAGCTACAGTTAGTGATATGGTAGAGAAAGTGAAAAATAAAATATAAACATTCACCATAAAAAAACTTAATAATCATTTAGGAGGTTCTAAAAATTATGTAAATGAAATTTGAAAACTGTAAGATGCAAAAATTATTCTAATCTTAACATGAAAATCAACTTGTATTTAGACTAGTCAAGAGTTTGAGTGCAATTGACTAAAATAAATTCAGAAAAAAATCTTTATTTAAAAAATCTTATTCCTTGTGTACAGGATACTAGTAATCTTTAATAAAATCTTACCAATTTTTGTGGAGATACATTAAAAAATAGTATTTATAGTTTCATGTATATACCTTTTTATCACTGGCTCGTGCATCTTGAACGGGCCCGTGTTGATAGGGTTAATGAGTTCAGCTTCAGACAATATCAAAGGATGAGAAAAATTTGAATTGGCTTCTGGGAATGTTAGTAGTAGAGTATGGCTTACGTTTGGAAATTTTTTCTACCACTTTTACTACATAGATTTAAAGCAAAAATTGTAATGTATAGTATACACTCATTAACAAATCCATAAGGAACTTAAACATATTTTTCATTTATTTTGCCTTCTTAAAGATAAGGCTGGGGACTCAGTAGCTAGTGATCACATGATTTGTGTGACTTAATTGCAGCAATAATACAGTGAAACATGGTAACTTTTTCAGAAATGTTTTTGAAGAATAAAATTAAATTGTTAATTCAAATACTTTACATGTACGAATTTATATTCCAATAAAATAAAGTTTCAGTAGTCGGATTGTTCTGGATTCTTAAGTGAGGAATCCTGAAATTGGACATAATTAGGGATTGTTGTAATCAATTTCATATCCTAATAATAGAAATAGTGAAGCATCCTTCCTAGAAGAAAGGCAATAGGGGACACTATTTATTAATCAAATAAACTTCCAGAGGCAAACTTTTAAGAAAAAAATATTCATTGAGCAGTTTTAGTGTTGTATCAGTTGTATCTTTAGTAGATGTTTATTTTCTTATCTAGTGGCTAGTGAGAATGAGATGATGTTTATGTCTCCTTTTATTTATACAGAAAAAACTTAACTGTTTTATGAACACTATGTCATGTCATGTGTGTCTCTAAGCCTGACGTTTGTGGTCAAAGTGGTTATCACTGAGAGGAAGATGGTCTTAAGTTTATCTTTTTTTTTATTATTCTATTTGGCATAGTGTATTCCAGTTTGCAGTATTTAGTGGTGTTTTAGTTTTTACATAATATAGCTAGTGATGAACATGGAACAACAGTAATCATTAAAAATTAATAGGCACAGACAGCTGCTTGAGCAAATATTTCATATACATCACCTTAAGCAAAGACTAAAGATCTGTTTTTATAAATATTATGTAGTTAAATTATATCGTTTGTTTATGCATAGGTGTCAGAGATGGCTGTGTCTGAACTACCAGGTAACCCCAATGCTGTATGGACTATAAAAAAGAAGTCAGATGGTAAGTTCAGTACCTTCATAGTTTAATTACAAGCTCTGTTGCTTATAAATGTTTCTAATTTCAAAAAAAAAAGTTAGACAATGTCACTCTCATAATATTTTGTTACAGAAATAAAACTGATAGGTGAAATTGTATGAACATTTACTAAGAACGAGATAAAGAAAAAAACATTTTATTTTAATTTTTTTTTACTTTTTAGGTAAATATTTAAGAATTTTCATAAAAGTATGTAGTTTCAGAAAAAAACATTTTTATTTTTTTCTACTTTTTTAAATACAAATTTATTATTTGTACCTGGACTCTGAATAGTTCACCTGCAAAGTGATATTCATATTAAGAATAAAAATATTAATTTTTACCTTAGTTTTCATATTTTACTTGCATAATCTTTAGAACCTCCTAAACAAATATCAAAAGTTTTTAAGGTACATGTTCATATTTTATGTGCCATTTTCTCTACAACATCACTATCTCCAGCTATTATCATCAATTTACAGTGCAAGGAAATGTTTAAAACTAAAAAACAGAAATGTGTACATACCTTTTAACTCTGTTGATTCCTCTAATAACATTGTCTGTGATTGACATGAATATATATATATATATAATTTCACATCTTTACCTTTTTCACTTATAGTATATTTTTAATGTTTTATTTTCCTTTTGTGTTCTTTATCTTTGATTATTTATGTTGACACACATCAACATGTGAACAAGGGCAATATAAAGTTAACATTGGCAAAAACGGTTTAGCCTCTGACAAAATGTTGTTTGCACTAATATAGTAAATGTTGTTACTACGATATTTTTAAGGTTAGAAATCGTCGAAATGGCGTTTGAAGAAAAAATGTAATGCCATGCCAATTTCTTATAAGATCATTTTAAATAAATGATATGAGCAGTCTCTCATAAATATTCTGAATCATGTTACCAATAATTTACAAATTATACTGGAAGAGACAATTTCTCCCCCTAAAACTTACTGACAGAGTCAGAGTCAGATAATTTAGACAAAACTATTAGTACATGTTTACGTGACAAGATTGCATTTTCACTCAACATGATCCTGTCAAATATTTAAAAAGCTAATTTGAGTAAAAAGGATATACTATCAGACCAAACATTTAAAATTGACGTCACTACTTTAGAAATAACCGTAGATAGTGGTCAGCGTAAGATTGTTAATATTACTGCTAATTATCTATGTAACATCAGTTAAAGAGTATTAATCCTTAATGAAAGATAACATCAAGAGTATACCAGATTTTACACTAGTTAATGACGAAGTTATTGCTCTTCATTGGAGATAAGAGCACAACTATCTGCCCATGTGCATCTTGAATTGTTCCATGCACTAGAGACATGTTTTGTACAATGAAACTCATAGTTTTAATTACATTTCAGATAGAACTATCGATCCCCTTCTAAGTGATTGTCCCATTATCTCAGGAAATATTCAAGTCGAGATGTTCAGCAGTGGTGTGAGCACTATACAGTTTGTACTGAACAGCAAAAAACTGACCAAAACAGGATAAACTCCAGCAGAGAATTATTGGACCTCTTCTTTAGAGGATAATTCTGTATATTGCTGGTCCACTCCTGGAAACTGAACGAGATCATTGACACATTCCTCATTGCTAATGAATACTCTATCAAGTAGTTCAGAGTCTATCCATTGATAAATACTTCAGCCCAATGTGTAGCTGATGTGGTGGCATAGCTCTTAACAAAACAGTATAAAACAACAAAATAGATCAACATGGATAAGAGAGCTAATTTCAGCAGGTAATTGTCCTCCAAGCTGTGAAAAGTGTTGGGTGTGGTGAAGATGCACACTTTTCCTTATCAACCTTAACATGAGGGTTTAACATAGCAGGTAGTGCAAACTATCAAGAACATACTTGTCACATTTATGAATCCGAACCAATTCAGGTTTTTTGACACACCTGGTAATTTCAAGTTGCTGGTTTAATTTGTATTACGTGGTTTTTCCATTGGAATGGTGACTAATTTACAATAACGACATTTTGATGTCTGGTCGTACGTTTTAGATCATAATAGAAAATCTAATCAAGGTCATTCAGTGTTTGTAACAATCAGGTCTGAAACTAAAGCCAGAGGTTCTTTCAAGCAGAAACATGTAGAGTTTTTCGGAAACACAGTGCGTCGAAATAGAGTTTTATGATTCTCCTAAAGCAGTGGCATGTTAACCTGAACATACAAACAAGAAGGAAGTCCAAATCATTTAATAGATTAAACATTGTTGAAGTGATTGGTAAACTTCACTGAACCAGAAGGTATGATTGCACTTTAGATCACAACATTTCGAATAAAACATTGTAAGCTGGAACGGATTTGTGAATGAATTTTTGTTAGCTATTGCATGAATTGTGGATTAGAAATATCTTTTAAACATTTCATGTTATCCATTCGATTTTTCTTTACAAAAACAGTGACTGGTAACAGCAAGCAAGTCTAGAATGTTGACAACTAGCAAGCTGTTGACAAGACTTATAATACCTACATCACATACGACATTGCCAAAAATATATTCATAAGCTTTAATAAAAATACCTTTAATACATATGTAGATATTATACTAAGGATAATTTTTGGTAATGATTTTACATTTGAAACGCCTGAAGGATTGGTTTGGTTTGTTTTGAATTTCGCGCAACGCTACACGAGGGCTATCTGCGCTAGCCGTCCCTAATTTAGCAGTATAAGACCAGAGGGAAGGCAGCTAGTCATCACCACCCAAAGCCAACTTTTGGGCTACTCTTTTACCAACGAATAGTGGGATTGACCGTCACATTATAACGCCCTCACGGCTGAAAAGGCGAGCATGTTTGGTGTGACGGGGATTCGAACCCGCGACCCTTAGATTGCGAGTTGATTGCCGTAACCACCTGGTCATGCCGGGCCCGCCTGAAGGAAGTGTAAAGTAAACTTACATAGAGTAACATAGTCATATATATATACAGTGAAACTAAGGTATATATGGTCGATTAAGTAGCTTCTGCATAAAATAAAATACTCATACTAATAATGGTTGGAGACGCCTTGAATGGGTAATGAAGAAAAACTTTAATATAATACTGTATATATATATATATATATATCCGTGTCAGTGTAAATTACCTGT